TTAAAACTTCAAATATTAAATGTTCGTAATACTCACTGTAATGAATATGGCTTTATGCAGACATAGAAACATAATTCTGAGGGAAGAACAACCACTGGTCAAACACCCTTCTCCAACCTGAAGCCTTCCAGGTATTTTAAATTGTATTTCCCCATATCCCTAACCATTGTCTTTGCTGATGTTCTTCCATTGAGCAATGCTTCCTTCTTCCTCTACTTCAGCTCAAGGTCATGAGCAATCCACCTCTAATCATTATTACAGCAGTAAAGAAATTTATTTTAAGATGCACTTTCTTCAAAGAAAACCTTATAGTTAAGACTTGAATTCACCCATGCAAACTGCATGCTGGTTGCCCTCAAAAATGCTATGCTGAGGAAGGCAAGAGTCTGCATAAATTAAGCAATCATTCTGCATAACGAACTTCCTTCCATTAGCAAGGAAGGAAACTACATGGAATGTTCAAGGTCTTTGATGTACAAATCTGCCCCATCCTCCTTTGTCCAAATATTTTCACATAACCTTCTGTCTTAAATGTTAAGAAGCTTGAGTGAAAGAAGGGAAATTGTTAAGTTGCTTAAGTCCCAAATATGAATTTATATACATGCAAACATGTAACTCTTTATAGGTGCAGTGCAGAACAAGAGCTAAAAAGCAGTACAAGTTTTTTTGTTCCAAAACTTTCAGTATATGGATATATGTTTAATTTCATAATAGGAATGACAAAACAGTACCTACAGAATAAGGAATACAAAGAACCATGGCCACCGCACTACAATCTGAAATAATTCAAGACTCAAAAAGATGCATGCAGAAGTCAGCAAAGGATAAGACCTCATGCTTTCTGGTACAACGGACATTCAGGATTGCTTGCAAAATGCATACTGTAGGTTAGTATATACATTAGCACATTAAAGATTCTTAATCAACTGTTTTTCAAGGCTTTCAGTGGTTTAATATTAAGATTTATATATTACAAACAATAGTAAGGATTTTATAAGGATAAAAAAGCTAACTTCATGAAAAAATGTGTGTTAACAAACTATTAGTTATAGTTAAATTATTATAATGTTATTAAAAAGGCTATATTTTCATCAAGCCTGAAACACAAAATGAGTCGCCCTCTCACCAACACACAAAGAAAAGTGAGAGCATTTCTGAAAAATTCCCAAGTGCTAAAGAAATGTCATGGTGCAAAATATATACATTTTTCCAAATGTCAAATCTAAAATAAATGGAATTCAAGTAAGCAATGACCTTTTTTTTTTCAGGAGTTATAATTTGAAAACAGGAGAGCCACAGGGAAATAGATGCAGGTATGACCTAGGGAAGAACAATGGTTTTTCCTTCAGTATATATACCTAGATGAAGTTAAACTAGCATCTGAGAGGCCAGAGACTTGATTAAAAAGGTGAAGAGAGATTTAAAAGAAGTCATATGAGGAAATAAATGACTTTTCGATGACTGGGGAAGCCAGAAGAACAAGGATTTAGCTCCATGACTTGCAACTATGTCTGCCCCACCAGAGAGGACAGGGTAAGCACGCTCCAGGTCCTTTCTCTTAAACACTGCCATCTTGTGCGTCCTTGGAAGTGTGACTTTTCTGTTGCAGCCCCCGCCCTGTGCAACACCCTCTCGCCTGTGATCCGACAGGCCCCATCCCTTCTATCCTTCCGGAAAGCACATAAAACCTGGCTCTTCCCCCAGGCGTTGGGACAGGGCAAGGTCAGGGCATGATGGGAACGTGAGTGCATCAGGGAAATATTATCAAGGTGCTAGGTTTTTCTATTTTTAGTTTGTTACTATTGGTTTTATATTGTTTTATTGATTGTAAGCCACCCAGCCTTGTTTTAAGATGGACAGCTATACAAATGTTTTAAACTAACAAACAAACTTCCAAAAGACTCCAAATCCTGAGTTTGGTAGTCAGTGGACACCAACTCTTTACAAAGCAAACTTTATTCTGAGGTTAAAACCGCTAGCCAATCTCACTATTCCCTTGTCTGTTTTCACAGCCAAGCATCAGCATATCACTGTCATGCCTTTAATATGAAAGCACAGAAAGGGAGAGGACATGCCTGTTACTGAGATAAATACACAGTGCGCGTGGGTGTGACCTCTCTGGGATTACTCCCTTTCAACAGTGCTGCCTAGAATTAATCATCCTGTTACTTGTCCAAACATTTTTTTCCTTACCTGGGTGTCTTTTAATCTTTTTCAGGCAGTCAGATCAATACTACACGTAATACTCTCAACTTGGTCCACAACAGAACTGTGGAATGATATTATGGTGGAGCCATTTTATTTTAATCTTTCCTAATAACTTGCAACAAGGAACGCACCTTTTCATCATCACCATCCAACAAACTGACATTTTATTAGTTGTTCCCATCTCAGCCACATCTTTCCTAATAAGTTTCCCATGGTAAAATAATGTAAAGTAAAAAAATAAATAAATAACTATCTGTATGCATCAGTTGATATGTAACAGGACATCAATCTGTTTCCATATCATGTTGAAACTGTGCTGTCTGAGGCATCAACATTACCATGTAGTTGTAAATAGCTATCCTCTCTTGCATGTATCTCAGGATCTCATATCTGTGGCAGAAGGGGGTTGCGGTCCCTTTTTTTTTTTTTTTTGGAAGAATGGTAACACCATCAAGGTGGGATTGGAATTACTCAGTGTGTTCATCCAGGGGGGAGGTATTTTAGGGGCAGTATGGGAAGCTTAAACAATGGCTTGCAGTGGGGAGGGATAGGGGTGCTGAGAAACAGGAGGAAATCACATTGCTATTTCTTGGCGCCATGCACCAAAATTCAAGGGGCTACAAAAGAGGGTTATGAAAACTAGAAGTTATTCAATGTTGCCTTCAGGCCACTATCCAATTCCTTCGTAATCATGTAAAAAGTCTTGCCAACTACTCATGGCATAGGAATCTGTCACCCAATAATGCTAATCTGACCCTAAGACCTTAACAGTTCTATAAATTTTAATGGTTGTAGACAAAGCAATAGTGATATATACAGAATTGCCCCACAGGCAAATTCCTAAAGGAACAGGCATTCCCCCCCCCCCCAAAAACACGTCAAATGGCTTGTGGCAGAAGTGAAGAAAGGGGCAGGACAGACAGAAATGCAAGTCAGTCTAAAAGATAAAAGAAATACAACCCAGAATATACTTTCCCAACCTTGTGACCTTTACCAAGGCTGCAGTTAAGTGTAAAGTATTCAGCTCCACCACTTAAGGCTGGAAAAAAAAATTGCTTGAATGCAAGAACAGCCACCACTAGTCAGTGCTAACAGTAAAGGTTTAAGTAAAACCAAGGTCTAACTCAGTATAAGGCAACTTTTATGGTTTCAGGAGTATCAGATGGCCTATTTCAACAGCAGTTGGTCAAGGATGTAAAAAAAGAACAAGACAATCCTGGGGAAAAGTGAGATACAGAAGTTACACTATATAACAGATCACAGTCTGGTCTTTTTTGTTAATCCAAAATATTCCCTCCCATAACTTATAATTAATAACAAAAATAATCTTGCTGTAGTACAGGTAGTCCTTGTTTAGTGACTACAATTGGGATTGGCAACTTAGTTGTTCAGCAAAGTGGTCGCTAAGTGAAACATCACAATCAATGGTATGATCTTACTTCAGCTTTCTTTTGCTTTACAGACCTGCAAAGGTCATAAATGCGAGGATGAGTCGCAAAATTACTTTTTCATCACTGTCATAACTGTGAATGGTCGCTAAACGAGAACTACCTATACAAAGAATTGAAAATCAACTTTCATGAATCCAAGAGCACTAGGAGCAGAAAGAGAATTAGATCATGCTAATTTGTTTGAGTGTGCAACAGTTGTAATCTTGTGACCACATATCTGTGTGCAGGGCTACAGCTTTTGTCACCACAAGCCAGCTTGGTCATTGGGAACTCTAGTGCAACGCTCCTCAGAACATAGGAAACTGTCTTACAACACAGCATGTTGACTTGGAGTTGCAGAAGTTACGGTCCAGCACATGGTGAGAACACCAGGTTAAAGAAGACTCTCTTACATCTGAACTTTCTGATCTTATATTATAGAGTCTTCATTGCCTAGTAAACAGGCACTTAAGGTTAGTTAGTTTTAAAAAATCCACCCTACCATCAAATGTCTGGCAAAAAAGATGAAGAATGTGTTTTTACAGGACATTTTTACAGGCGAAATATTGGTGCTCAAAATTGCTAGAAACTGCATCCTTCCCACTGGAATTCCCAATTCCCCATTCCAGATGCACATGAGCAAGATGAGGCTACTTGCTGACTGAGGAAATGCCCTCCGGCCCCCTCAGATACACACCTCGCATTCATGCGAAACCAGAAGTGAATGCCTGGAGAAACCTGCACTTTCGTTTGGACTACACTGTAGAGCAGTGTTTCTCAACCATGGCAACTTTAAGATACGTGGACTTCAACTCCCAGACTTCCCCAGCCAGCAGGCAGGCCAGGGGCACACAGAACACAAGCTTGCGCTTGCAGCAGCTAGAGGTATCTCCCATTTGACGTTAAAAAGCTTTACGTGTGGTACAGAGTGGGACCTGTCTATTGCAGAGGCAGAGAAAGAGATTTGTTTACGGCTTCAAGTTAAAACGCGCTTCCCAGCTGACTTCGACCCGGGTCGCTAAACGCAACCCCAGATCCCACCCTGAGAGCTCCGTACAGTTTTTCTGGGCCGAGCAAGGTCCTCCACCAAGTTTCCCCGGACTCAGAGGAAGGGAGTGGGACCCAGATCGGAGGACCGGAAGCTAAGGGGCAGCCCGGAGAAGAGGCGCAGGGCGAGAGGCGAAAGGTGCTGGCGCAAGGACGTGGGAACGGGCACACCGCCCAAGGGAAGCCAGGGGGTGATGCAGCCGGGAGCAGAGAAGGCGGGGGGGGGGGGCTCGCCTGCCGGGGCAGCGAAAGGACGGCGGTGCAGAGCCAGCGGCGGGGCTCGCGCGCTCTCCCTCCCCGCGCCGCGCGCCTTACCTGCGGTGTCGGGCGGCCCAGCGCAGCGAGTGCCTCGTCGTCAGCCTCCTTCCCTTTCCCCCGCCCGACGGCGCCTGCGCCTTGGAGACTCC